GTCTCCCACCGTCTTTCCCACATCCCATCCTTGGCCAATGTCACAGGCAGCAGCAGCCTCCTCTCAAGAAAGCAGATGATGACGTCGCTGCCAGCCTATGGAGATGCACCCCACAGATGGGAAAAGCAGACTTTCCCGGGGCCGTCCCTGGCACTTGTCCTCCACAGTTTTATAACGCTCTTCATCGCCACAAAGTGCTCCTCAGGGATAAATAGGGGCTGTGTAAAACAGTGACATCTCAAAAAAAATCCCACCATGGGCTCGTCCCAGCTCTCATGGCTCGATTCATTAAAATGGCCAGGCTCTGACTAAAGGCGCCAACAAAGAGACTGTTGAGGGGTTGTGACAGTAGAGGTATGTATTCAAATTCTACAAAACACTCAAACGCAAGAGGCTTCTTTTTGAATCTCTACAACTGTGAGGTTGCTCATTTACAGGGAGACACTACTCCACGCGCGCACACACACACACACACACACACACACACACACACACACACACACACACACACACACACACACACACACACACACACACACACACACACACACACACACACACACAGTCCTTAATATGCTGCTAAAAACCATGCTGTTCTTTTGTCAGAGCATCACTACAGGAGAAGAAAATCCACATGATCATTTTCTTCCTCAGCAAAGAAGCCCTGAGTGTAATTGGGGCTTGAGAATGACTCATACTAGGGAAAGCGGATGTCCAGTCTTTTTGCCCATCTGTTACCTTACTTTTTATTCAGCACCATCAATAGACATGTGGCACATGCTACTGAAACTCCTGGCATAATCTCTAAAGTTAGTTGTACAGTAAACTGTGATTTGGTTAAATATCAACAAGAGAATCACAGCCACACAAAAAAGACCACAGGTCATGTACAGAGACAAAAACAACTCCTGGAAAGCATTAAAAGGTTGTTTGAGTTGTAGTTTGAAATGTTAGGATATTTACCTATTTGTTTTATTTGTTTGTTGTTTGTTTCAAAGAGTTGACCAAACCAATGCCACTTTCAAATGCTATCTAGAGCTTCAGCCAGGAAATTGTAAGCTCAGCTTGATAGCTCAGTTAGCCCAGTACAAAACATCCAAAATACAACTGGATGCTTTTATCCAACAGATTAGCATGGATTACAAAATAGAGATGAAATGTGTAAATTAGTGTAATTTTGGGGAACCTTTGGACAGATCTAGCCTAGCTGTTTCAGAGTTTCATTTCAGGCTGAGCTAGTTGTCTCCTGATTGTAGACTTATATTGAACAGTCAATGTGGTGTCGAGCTTCTCCTCTACCACATTTGGGAAGTCAGTGGATTTTGCAATATGTTAAGCTGTCACATTCAAATGACAGCTAGAAAATGATAAAAATAAAAATAAGAAGATTTAAAAAAAAATTAAAGGGACTTGTGTTTAAAATATCGGCCTATTTTTCATGTTTTTTTAACTTTTTTTTTAATGTTATCAATTTGGGGATATTTTAATTAATTGCCATTGAAATTAGTTTCAGCGGGTTAAAACAGGGTGGCAGTAGGTCAGTCTGTAGGAACTTGGTTTGGTAATCGCAGTGTCGCCAGTTCAAGTCCACGTGTTAACCAAAGTATGTTAGTTGGTCTGGTTGCTGAAGAGGTGCCAGGTCACTTACTCAGCACTGCTGAGGTGCCCTTGAGCAAAGTACCAAACCCCAAAGTGCTCTGATGCTCTTTCACTTGCAGCCCCTCACTCTGACTTCTCTCACTTAATGCATGCCCATAGGTCCTGTTTGTGCATGTGTGTCTTTTTTTTTTTGGCCTTATTGTGTGAGAAGCATGTCTCCGCATATCATAGTGTAAACCAGAATTTCATAAAGTATGTAAAAAAAATAAAAAATTGAATAAGCCATCATCCCAACGAGTCTGTTGGGAATCACTGAAATTATATGAATCATTTTATCTTTACAATCAACCCTGACGACAAACTGTTTCAGCAAACACCTAAAATCGTTCAAAATAAAATGCATTCATCAACTGCATGTTTCAAACAACTGATGACACACAATGCTGTCTTTACACAGCAGCAACAGCACTGATAAGACTGCATCAACACATCTGCACACTACACATCTACACATCAGTAGATTCTGGTGTTATAGATTATTAATGCTCAGTATTTGTCATGCGTGCAAATCCAGCATTAGTCATACTGTATGTATCCATTGTGTGCAGCACATGTTTTTATTAGCGTTGACCTTTCAGGGATGTTTCCCATCACAACATTGACAAAGATAAAGAACTTAACATCACTGACTTGTTTAAGGAGGGTTATCGTAGAAGAGAACGAGTGTTTAGATGTTGGATGAATTTAGCCATCGAGGGTGTTATTTAATACAGTTAAATTATGAAGTTTGCAATCCTTTATGTTTGAATAACTTTCTAAAGGGGTCCAATTGGAACAAAAAAAATAAGTGAGTCTGAAGTGTCCAGGAGTTAATAAGCGAGACAAGCGATTGTGGCCAGTGGTAAAACTAGCCAATTAAAAATTGTAGTGTATGAGACGGGGGTGTGTTGAAATTGATAGCAGATGTATTTTCTGAAAATTTAAAAACACTATGTTTTAAACATGTAAAACTGATACCAAATGATACCAATTTGAAAATAGAACATACACCAAAGTACCAAAAATGTGAAAAATATCATATTAAGCTTAAAATCCCATATATCAAAAATAACAACAATGTTGTTTTTGTAAGGTCTAATAAATCAGCAGCACCTTTACAGATTTTCAGGACACATTACTCGGTATACAGGCATAAAATATTCAGCAGCTCACTGTGAACACATTATCTGAAAGCAATTACGTCTATGTGAACAAATAATTAAATGTAGCAATGGGCGAAATTGCTAATAAAAAAGTTCTCTTCAGAGCATGTTTGTGTATGTGTAGCTTTGTGTAACATACATGTGTTGTGTATTCAAAAAATGGTGAAAAAAGTAATCAAAACATACACACGGTACCCTACAGACACCCGGTACAACACGGTAATTATGGAGTGGGAGGGTAATCCAAATGAACTGGATAATTACTCATATTCATCGCCTCCAGCAACCTTTCATCTGTGTGTGAAGGGTCAGTTGTCTTTGCAAGGCAGAAATGAACTCTCTGACAAAGTGATGGATGTCTGAATGTTCAAACACATTCATCCCAGGTGGAATCTAATTCTAGCCATAGCAGAATCTCTTCCGCTGACAACTTGATCCCATGGAGCTGTAACAGTGAAGATGCAAGGTATACTTGTGTGGATGAATGCAGGGAATCGGACCATTTCTGTCATGATTTGGTTTCTTATTTTCAGAGTTTAGGTTTTCTTGTTGTTTTTAGTTCTCATTCTTGTCTGATGCTGTTGTTTCCCTTGTATGTTTTCTAGGTTAGTGTTTCATGTGTTATTTTGTAACTTCGTACCCTGGAGTTTCTTTATGTTCTAGTGTGTTTTGTTTCATTCTTGAGTTCTGTGTGTCTTCAGTGTTTCATGATTTAGTTTGTAGTTGTCCTCAGTGTTTCTTGTATTTTATTCCTGCCTCTGTGTGTTTCCCAGTGTGATTGCCCTGATTGTCTTCACCTGTGTCTTGTTAGTCTCACCTGTGTCTGATTACCTTATGTCTATTTAGTTTCTGTGTTTCTTCCCTTCTGTGTCAGTTCATTGTATGTTGTAAGTTGCCAGTGTTGTTTGGCGTATGTTGGCGTGTCAGTGTTTCCTATTGTTTCTCAGTGCTTGTCAATTTTTGAATTTTCTCAGTTTGGACATTTTGATAGAGAGTTTTAGTTTTTGCCTTTTTGTTTAAATATAAATATAAATAGTTGTATTAGTTTATTCTGCACTTGGGTCCACCTCCTTGTTTTCCCACGCCTGTGATACATTTCCCCCTATAAAAAAAATGTATACAAACATTGGATTAAAGTAATATGGAATTATGATGGCGTTTCTCTGCTGCATGTGTCACTGTTTTCTGTAATGGTAGTCAGCGGGGGCAAACCAAACACTGTATAAATCATGGGCCTTTAGTCTTAGTGACATCGATGGTGGCTGCCATAGTGAAAATGTTGTCTCAACCCAAATTTCAGTCAGCCTAGCAACAGGCAAAGAGGTGGAGCTGAGGCGGGCCTTAAGCTGATAGACAGCAGCTAAAATGCCCCTAAGTATGCATAACCCATCCTTCATTAAATCAAATCAGATGAGATGTAAACAAAATCATCACCTGAACAGTGTGGTCAAAGAGAAACAAATTATTCAAAGCACAGCAATGATGAATGCTTTGGAAAATGGCTAAACTTGCCCCTGGCACCGGAAAAACTACAACAGAACAGCTGGGCAGAGATTGGACAGGAACTGAACGTCAGTTGGACGGCAGCGATGGTGAAGTGAAGTCAATACAAGACTGTGCCCTTTAGTGGATGCATTTTTTTATGTCCATATCATTTAAAAGGTACACATAAATATGAATACATAAAAAAAGTAAAAGTAAGCCTAGAGACGCAGGGAAAAGACAAAAGTGTTGGATGCAAGGATGTTACTTAGAAAAATTGTACGTCCCCCTTGTCCTCTCCACAGTCAAAATCTCTTGTTTTTCTTTTCTCCATTAAAAACATTTCAGCCCCTTATAGACCTGGAGAACGTTGTATGTGATACCCTGATATGGAATGTATCTCTTTTGCAGATATTTTCTGCAATTTTCTGTTTTTTGCGTTGCTTTAAATGTATTTGTGGAGCATTTGCCATTAATGCATTTTTTTTCAGCTTCTGCTGAATGTTTTTCATTTACAACACATTCCTTTTGTTGGTTTGTATTGGACGTATGTGTGTGACTGTATTTTCATCATTTCTAAATTTACAGCACATTTTTTCACAAATGGAAATCTACTGGACGCTTGTGGTGTGTTTGCCCTTGACGGCCACCTTAGTTATTGAATACAAATACAGCCAAAACAACAAACTTGTGAGATAACAGAAGATGCTTGTTTACCTGAATGGAAACATCACTGTACGATCCCCCAATGACCCCAGAGATAGCAAGGGGAACCTCGTTCTGGATCGGTCTGGAGCCGTCAGGGCAGATGAAGCCTGGATCCTGGACTTTGGTGAGTGAGGCCCGGACAAAATCGAGAGACTGCTCTAGAGCGTATGTGTCCTTGGAGCAGGTGTCCAGGATGTGGGCCCCCAGCTGGAGTCCAGGGAGGATGCGATCGCTGGAATTAATCTCATCAAGTGCAAGTAACATGGCTTCCAGTCTCTGGATGCCTCTCTCCTCATTGATCTTACCACAGTCCTCTGTCCCCTCACCTTTGTGGTGCACAGGGAACAGACCTCCAATTACCAAGTCTCCATCCAGGATGATCTCACGTTTGGCAGTGGCTGGTAATCTGGAGATGCTGGGCACGACTCCCAGTATAAGGAGCTCCAGCAAGAGCATGTATAGAGGCCAGTAATGGACGGAGAGGCCCAACGGCCTGGGGCAGAGCACTAAAGTCAGCATGGCAGGACCGGGAAGAGGGGCTCAGCTGGTTGAAGTAGAGAGAAGCAGAGGTTTATAGGGTCTGCAGGCGGATCACTTTCAAGTCGACATTCCGGGGGTTCAGCATGTTTGATATTTCCTGAGTTAATAAAAGGAAAAAATAATGACCGGATTAATATTGCATAAAGTCTGTTTCACTTCTAATAACCTGCTGTACATCTATCTATCTATCTATCTATCTATCTATCTATATATATATATATATATATCAGTTCAACACAATAAAACCAATTATTTTCTGAAAAAATACATTATGTAGGCATACCCATTTTCATTTTCACTTTTATATTCTTTCTTGCTAACAGTTTAATTCAAAGACATGAAACAGTATCAACAAGGCTCTAACACCACTTTGTGCCTTGGTGGGGTCGTTTCATATCTGAGTACGTTTATATCTAAACTTTCTTTGGCAAGTTTATTTCTTTACAGTTTTCTTATCGATTTTTGCCTGAGCTTCTTTTCTTTCTCTCGCCCTAATGCAATCTTTAGAAATGTTTCAGAAAAAATAATGCTGTTATTGGACAGGCTGAACTCGAGTTTGCTCTGTCAGGAAGCTGAAATGGGTCTTTGCAACTTATGAGTTACTTTTTGAAGCAAAACAAAAGTGGAGATAACTTCAGTCGGGCTCTCGGGGGTTTCCAGTGTAAAATATTATCACTGCAGTTTTATCTCAAAGACAAAATTGGGAGTTATTGCTGCTGAGTGACCACATCAAACATTTAAAGATATTTAAGGCTCCTCTCAAGTGGAGCGTAATTTCCAAGCTTACAACCGAGATATCACATAAATGGTGGGTCTCCTCAATGGATGGGGTTGCCATGGAAACATGGTTGGGCAAGAAAAAAAAAATAAAGGTTGGACTGCAGGGATGTGGGCAGTGAGACATGTATGCTAATACGGATTCCTATCGTGTGGAGGTGACAGGTTTCAGGCTCGGAAGGAGTTGTTATGATGTGTGATTAGGGAGGAGGGCTGGTTCAATCACAGAGCTCTCAGAGAGGGGGAACCAATCCTGTTTCTTTCCAACACACTCACTCGTCACATTTATCAAACACACACACATATGCACACACATATGCACACACACACACAAAGGGGTACAACAAACAATTTGATTTACGCTGTCTGTACTCAAAAATGTGGACTTCTAATGACTGACATGGTTCCTGACTTTTACCTTTGCCTCTTTTTTATAGAATACATCTTAATTGTTGATCACATTATTTGAAAGAGTGACGCACAAATGATCTGTGTGTCTGGATTTTTAAGATTCAGGTAAGGAACAGTCACACTGGCACACACACACAGAGCTGCTCTGTATTTTGGACTATTGGATATGCAGCCGCTCCCCTCTCCATTAAGAAGCAGCAGGGAGCTTATTAGTGACTTCTCCTATTTGTCACCCATTGTTGTTACTCACATTATAACAATGCATTCAAATTTCTCCTAAACTGAAATATAGAACCGGTGTCTTCAGATTGTATTCAGTCTGAGTGTTTTCTGGATCCTGTTCTCACAAAAGCAGAACAGAGGTTACAAAAACACCAGCTGGAGCAGCTACACCCAGATAAGTTCATCCCGTGAGTATGTGTGTGTGTGTGTGTGTGTGTGTGTGTGTGTGTGTGCGTGTGTTCTTGTATGTTTTTGCTGAGACATTTGAAGAATACTCCATGACATCCCAGCAGTAGTGCAAGATACAAACAACAGAAAACCAAGAGGAAAGAGTTTAATGAAGACTGACTATCCCACCTGATAAATATTACATCATGGTGGTGGGTGGGAAACCTTGTGGTGAATTCATAAAGACGTAAAGTCAAATCTGTCTAAGAGCTGCTGTTTCCTTTACAGTAGATGCAGGGACTGTGAATACTTAGATTATTAGATTCCTCCAAACATCTGGACATAAAAAGTGGAAAAGATATGTATTCCTTCTTTTTCTGCTTCAGATTATTTTTAACAATGGCACGGCATTCTTTGGGATATTGTATACAAAAAAACAGAAAGCTCATGATTTGATTGGTTATGCTGTCTCTACATTGTGTGTATTTGCAGCAACTGCTTAACTCAGGAGAGCAAACAGATTCAAGTAAAACGTTTTAAAAGCACCTTTAAAAAAAAAAACTTAATTGTAGGGAATTTGAAATAAATGAAGATGTTTTGTTAATTAGCGATAACAACCTGGTTCAGCTTGATGACAGGCAGACTGTAGAATGTTTTGAAAGAGGAGGTAACAAAATCCCAGTTGCGAACTCAGGCTGTGTGAAGGGTGGAAGCAAAAAAAAAAAAAAAAGGGCACCAGCTGTATGCAGTGGACAGAACATTTTCTGGAATATTCTTAGACAGGCTGTATGGTGCTGTATCTTCATTGTTCTTCCCTCAGTGCCTTTTATTGCATATTCTCTATTTTCAGGGCATCATGTTGAGCACTTCCTCAATTTTTCTCAATTGAATGGCACTCTGGAGGGCACATTATAACATTTTATTTGTCATATCAGCTTTCTAAAAGTCCATTTTGATGCATTTAATTTTACACGGGGTGGGGGGGTGTTCATAACAATGACTCAGAGCATTCAACTACTTTGTTTTGTGATTTCTTTAAGGTAGCTGGTGAGTTATCATTTCAAAGATCTGAAAAGAAATGTCTTCAAAATAATTATTTTTGTAATGCAATGTATTTCTCTTTTTTATGAGCACATACTGTAAAATGAAACTAAAATGTAGACTTGTTTGGGATGATCCACAGACCAGGGGGTGGTGTTGAAACATCTTTAGCACATTTGCCCTTTTATTAGAACCAAGGTGAGAAAGTAACTGTGAGCATTCAACATAAAAAGTCTAATTGCTCCTCTGTGCTGTCTGCTGGAGCAGATGGGGGCTTTCCGGTTGCAAAGACGAGGTCACGGTGTGGATTAATGGTCCAATAAGAGACAGCCAATTAGGCAGGCCTATAGGTCAAAGTGAGGCTGGGGGTCCAGAAGAGCCTTTCAAAACCCTTAAGAAGTGCAAATAAAGACTGGCAGATTGAAATGGACATGAAATTAAGCTGTAACAAATATAAAATCAGATTTCCGAGTAATATTTCAAATGGTGGGCAATCTTATCAGCCTTCATGAGTGTTAAATCTCAGTCTCTGATTAGTTTAAAGTAGCTCCTATCATCCCTGGGATCACATCATTAAAAGTATCTTGATGTAGAAACTGCTGTCACGCTCACACTCAGCCACTCGCCCCCCAGATGTCTGAGCACAATATTCCCTTTTGAAAGCCGAGTTCAAAAAGAAAAGGCAGTGTGTTTAACTCAGCTTTGAACCAGCAGCTAATGCAGAACTGCTCCCCGCCCAGGACAGCATTTCATCAACATTAACATAAAGAAGCTTTGAGAGCATCTTTCCATATGGCTGATGTGTAATGTATGACTCACTGCAGAGTTGCTTAAAGCGATGATGCTGACTGGCACATTCAGTCGTAGTACCGTATGCGTGTATGGAGAAATGTGCTATTCATGTCTGGAACAGGCGGAAAAGATGAAGGACTGGCCACCTGTTTGTCCGTGCTGAAAAAGTCCACAGTGACTATGCAGGATAAAACTCTGCAATGTCTTTTTTAATGTCGGGATGTATAATTATGTTGTTAATTATCACTTCAACAACATCACCTTAGACTTTGCTGTCTGGATTGTTTGGATATACGTTTCTTGAATACATGACGTGACGTCGAATTTTATAATCTAATCCATTACACATGAATCATTAGGCAGATTAAGACCCGCCTAAACACAGCACTTGTCCATTAAGATATATCTAAAATATTGAAATATTGCTGTCTGTTGCTTACATGACTAACATGCATGAAGGATTATTATTTGTTGGGATTTTTTGGTGGTTAATATTATGACTAAATATTCAAGATGGATTACAGATAAAGTTACACCATTTACCCAAGTAAAACCAATGTCATATCATGCTACATAACGACATATAATTATATTATGTAGCAAACTAAACCATTAAGTGAAAAAAGTGATAATTGCTCTTATTCTGTAAAGACCCCAAAGGGTGTAAAGGTCCCAAGGTGCTTGTACAAGTAAAACTAAAATCAGAACAGAAGGATGTTACAGATAAAAAATGTAAGCTCTGTGCTTAGCAAAAACAGTTACAATTAACTTGTAAGCGCTGAAACTGGAAGTCCACCTAAAATGTAAAATACAAGTGAATCGAGCTGGTGCCTGAAGAATTTAAAATAACTTTTGTAAAAGTGAGCATGTGAGAAAATATAAGACAAACCACCTGAATTGTTTGACATTATGACCTTCGATGATGATCCTTTACGTTAACTATACCTTTCTCAAGCAAATGTCCCATTATTTACTAATAATACATTAATAAGAGACATGTTTATCTGCCTTAATTCACTCCATGAATGGTTTCCATCATTCTATCGTCTCCAGTCAGGACACAGTTTATCCCTCCACCTGCATGTGTCAGCTTAAGGAATTAAGAAGCCTCTGTGGTGGACAGCAGCCAGCTGATTAAGAATTTGAACATAGATCAAGTGAATCATTTCATCAGAAAATAGCTCAGGGGAATCTGGTTGTTGGGCTGATACACTGGATGACCACATATGATTTTAAATGAGTGCTTAAATCTCACCTGGATGTGTAAGTAATTGGGTCTAAATGAATGAGCGAGAAAAGGTAGATACCAGAATGTGAACATGTCATTGATAACTGAATGATGGAGAGTATCTAATAAAGACAGGATAATAACACGCATGGAGATGTGAAGATATTAGTGTACTCTGTGACCATCAAGCACTGTCATCTTCTTACTTGAAGATAAATCCAAATTGTATATCTTACCTCTGATGCACTAGCAACATTTTCATACATGCCATTATTTTTCCTACAACAAATTATTTTACATTCTCTCTAAGCTGCAAATACTCTCGTGAAAAAAGCCCAATTAAGAGCATAGTAGTGTGTCATTACATTGTTTAAGGTTGAGGCTGAAACAAACACCCTGATAAATTTGAGTCTAATATTAGATTATGTAGCCTATTTTTTTTAGTTGGTATGATTGTGAATGTGCTGCAGATTCTCTCAGGTCAAATGGGAAACAGCTTCACACGTTTATCATTCAGGTGTTTGCTGCTCTAATGGAATAGTAATGCGGAGTGTTTGACAAGTTCAGTTGCTGGTTCCTTTTGCTTTGAGACACTGAAAGATTTAAGTGCAGTCTAAAGATAATGTTGCTCTACGATTAACTGTTTATAATAATAAAGGTAGCGGACGAGAAAGCGAAACTGCAGGAAGTTTTATCGGGATAATCAACAAAGCACTCATTTTCTATGGAAAACCTACTTCTAAGTCAAAATTTAAGTTCTTAAATGTCCTTTTCTTACCTGGCAGGAGCCCTTGATTTGTCTTCTCTTGTGTATCTGCTGGTCGTTTCTTTTCCCACGCCGACCTCGCGACAAGCACACAGTGCAGATCTTCACGTGCTGAGTGGAGTCCAGATGTGGTTGACTTTGAGCATGTTTGCCAGGCAGAGGTTTGGATCTGTCCTTGGTCCTGAAGTCTTGCTCACACTGGCAAGTGTGCCAAAACTCCCCTCTGTGCTCTCAAACTCCTGCCCGCAGTTAGAAAAGGTGGGTAGCAAAACCCTCACGGACCGGAGTGATAATATAACCTACCGCCCAGCAGTGCTCATACTATGTCCATTAGCAGCAACAGCAAAGCAACCAGCTGCACCGAGTGGCTATGAATACAATTAATTGTTATTATACAAATTTCCAGGCATTCAATTTCCTGTTTAAAGAGCTGCCTCGTCGAAAAGTTCGTCGAATAAACTTAAAAAAGCAGATCTGTTGATAAATCCTCCTTCAGCGGCGTCGAATGGAGCGCGTGCAGCTTCTCTGAGCAGCACAGCTCTAATGAGCGCTCGCGCCTCTCACAAAGCCTCTGTTTGTGAGTGAGTAACGGCACAGATACAGAAGGGGACTCAACAATAATAAAACCCATCTCACCAAAGCAGAGAAAAGTCTGATAAGCGCAGGATATAATAGTCTGGTAACCTTTATGTGCATTAAACTCATAATCCTGTTTCCAACTTCGTATAATTTCGTCTTTCTGAGTGACTCACCCCATTGCCTTCCCTATGAAGCTGAGTTGAGTGGTGTCAGTCTAAATTTTAATAACAAACCTCTCAAAAAAAAGAATCTAAAAAATCTTCTAACTAGACTCTACAGGGCGCTGCAGCTCTCCAGCTAAAATTAGAAAAATGAGAAAAGAGAAATGAACATCAACTTTTTTTTGTTGTTTCTCTCTCTATGAAGGCTGGCCAGCTCCTCATTCACCTCCATCTCATTAAAACTGAATCACTCTCCAGATGAGAGGCTCAGCACTTCACAAAGTAGAGAGGCGCAGCTTGATTTTTCACTGAAAGGATGAAAATGTCCCACAGACACACAGACACACAGACACACAGACACACAACTAACAAGGGGGAGAGCGTTAATATCATTTAAAGGCACTTCAGACATATGGGGGTAGAATAGGGGCATACCTGAGATCAAGGTTAAATCTTTTTTTTTTTTTTTACAAATAACCTTTTCTGCATGCACAAACCAGTTTGACATGAACCCTGATGCAAAAGTAGATTAAACCCTTCCTGTACTGATTTCCCCCTGTTAACTTTTTAAAAACTGTTCCTTCAGCAGTGCAAAGGTTAAGGTCATCTATACAGCATGCACTGATGCAGTCGACAATTCTGCAGACACAATGCTTCATGCAACAAACTGTGCACTTGTTTTCTCATCAACAACACCATTACATCAGCAGTATTACTGCTGTATGATTAGCAAGGAGTGCATTGCAGGTCTGCTGCACGCACCAGTTTGTTGTTTGTGTCCAACTCGGGCTGCACTGTAAAAAACACAGATAGTTAATGTAGAGAGCAAAAGTTCATTCAGTCAAGAATTATTGCTCACCCATTTATGTCACCTTCACAAGTTTAAGAAGCAGCATCACATCACCTTTCCGCATCTCCTCACCTCGCTCTCACCCACACACACACATACACACCTCATTGTTTTCTAATGTTTCATTTCCGTGCTAACAATAGCTACTTTGCAGTGAGGAGATGTAGAAAAATAACTTTTTCTGAGTTCTGTGGCAATTAAAATGACGAACGGGTCCTGCTTGTTGCATAATTCCCTCAGCTAACACAAAGGGACCAATTTTCTCTCGGAATAGAATTGTAGTTTACATTACAATAGCGGCGGGCATGTGGGTAGAATGCAGGGTTTAGATAGAAACCTGCCAATTAATGTCAAGTGAAATTATAGGGCACAGAATAAAAAGGGTTTTTAGCCAGTGGTCAGTGAGCAGCTGCTGTCTGACTGCTGCTCTCGCTGTGGTTTCCTGATCATTGAATGTTACAATACAATAATAACAAAGCAATAACACCAACACATTTTTTTTGTTTTATCTCTCTGGTGTTTATGCTTTTTAGAAAATAATTCACCACTTTAACATGAAAACATCTTTTCCTCTAAAACATCTTATAAGCAGGGAATTCAGGTTTGGTTTAGGAAGAAGTATGAGTAAAGAGAGCAAAGAGTAAGTTTGATTATATTGCAAATTGTTTATGTTTTCCCCCTGGTTGGCTTTTGTAATACAATGCCATGCCATTGTAGTTTTTAAATTAATGCCTTTGACATTCCTGCTGCCATCTTTAGAATGGAAGTGAATTGACATATTTGTTGTTAGCAAATACTTTAAATACTCAAAAAACAGTAAAAATACATTAGCCTCCCTTATTAGAAGTTTAGGAGCTACATTACTATAGAAAGTTTGGCTTCCCACACTAGACTTTGCCAATATTCCATAACGATTGCTTTTTTTTTAAGGAAAATATTTAGCAGTGAAGCTTTTCAACTTGTTTTTCTGACCTGTTGTTCTTTCATTTTAGTGTTGTCTTTGTATCCGCAGCAACAGTTGTCCCAATCTATAGGGAAAAAACTTAAATACAATATGACATGGCCTACTGATAATACATACATCAGAATACACAAAGATACTACACAAGGGGTACATAATAGAGGATATAACAGCCACAGCTCTTAGAGTGGTTTTATACAGAAAACATCCCAGGCCTTCACTCTCCCATTGAAGGCTCATCCATCTCCTTTAACAGTATCCTGTGGGAATTTAACCCAATCTTTCAGATACCGGCACTTAGATTAAAGATAGAAACACCCACTATAGATTACCTTATTTGAAGAAGATTTGTAAACTAAAAGATCAGCACTGTGCAAATGAAGTATTGGAGGCATACCCATTTAGAGTGAATACAAAATGACTTAGGCTGTTGCATGCTCACTTTTTGTTGTTGTAAGAATGTCCAGAAATTTAACGTGCAGTTGTCAAGACAAATTCCTAATGGGCAGTTTCACACCTATAGATGCCACAGATGCAATATTGCTGCAGTTACTTGTCAGTGAGGCCTGGTCCAACAAGTAAAGGGTAACTGAATCATTTTGCTTTGTATATGGCCCCAAATTACAAATAGAAGATTGTTCCATATTTTCCATTGTTTTCCAGATAAATTCGGCCATTTTCACAAAGGTTGATGTGTGGAAGCAGCTGGTTATCGTCCCACAGGGAACCAGTGGGTGTGTTCATGATGTTGCTATGCTGATTCACACTCATTTTCAATCTTTCATGTTGCAGAAATCTTCAGAAAATGTGTTTTAGTGATAAAAACTCAAAAACAGTCATCATATGAAGCATTCAACTCTTCCTCCTCTAAATGCTACGCAGGCGCCAGCCCTGACTTGATAAAGATCACTGATTGGATAAGTAGATGAGTTATTTGAAGCTGAACAAATGTCTTAACCTGATTGTCTAAATTTTGTCATTTTTCTAATGGATGGCTTAAAGTAAGGTGATGATGGGGGTAATGATAGATCCACTTGTTTTCAACCTGGCCTGGATAGAATAATTACGTGAAGACTTTAAGCAGATTCATAGTTGTTTCAGTTTTGATTAAGTACAAAAACACAAAAACAAAATTAACAGATGGTTGGTAATTTGGTAGCCTTTTCAGGATGACTAATGCTTCACAAGTTGCCTTCTGACAATTGAATGCCAATGTTATTTTTTTATTATAAACTGCATGTTATTATAAATACACAACACTAAAGGAAAGGAAAGGCATGTCTCTTTCTCTGCAGATATTATTCACTTGTGCCAATGTGAGCATGGTAATCTGGAGGATCTGCAATGCTCTCATTTTATTTCAGAATATGAAAAGATGTTTACTACAAACTGGCATATTGTATACAGCTTTCCTCTGACTTGATTACATACACACACACACACACATCCCTTTGAGCTACGAGCACCCTTCCAGGGAGCACGGCTCACTGTGAGGAGCTCAGTGTGATCTCTTGTTTGTTGGAAGATAAAGGATATGGATATGACTGGACATACATTGCAGGCGTTGGGTCATCAGGTGATCTTTCAGGCTGCAGCTGCCATATTTATTTCAGAGGGAACAAGAAAAAAAAATACAAAGATTTAAAAAACAAAAAAAACAAATGAAAATCAGCTTGTGGAAAGAGGCGGCAGATGGGAGGAAGGTTGAGAAAGAATCTGATGGCTAAACAGAAAATAAATTATTTGGGAGTGAATGTGTGAGGGTAATTAGAGGATGCTTCAGGCCAGATGTAGAGAGACTATAAATACAGAGCAGAGACGCTGAGCTTTGCTTTCACTAATAGTGAAATGAATATTAATGGTCAGCCCACTTGTCTTGTCATCTTTCTCCAGGCGTGATAATGGCGGCAGGCTTCACACTTACCATAATCATGTTCCCAATCATAGAGGTGATCATTACCAGTGCAAGAAGAAAGTAATTATGGCCTCATTCACACGTTCTCTTTGGAAATATGGAACATTTTAACATTTAACCAATAGAGCTATGCCGACACACAGCCATGTAAAGACAATCATTGAGCACTTATAACATGGTGCACAGATTTCAACCAAACACAAGAAACACAAAATAAAACAACAGAACTCTTCAAGAGGTCTACAGTATGTGCCCACAGCCATTTCAGTCCCATATATCAGTTGGTTCCATAGACTGTATAAAAGAAGGGGATGACAGCTGTGAAGAAGAAAACTATGAAGAAGATACTTTATTAATCACCTAGGGGAAACTATTTTCTTTTCTCAAGAGACATACTGTACTACACACTAATACACTACTACTACTACACACTAGTGTTGTTGTACTTGTTAAATCTCCATCCTGATTGACAGGTAGCCCTACAGCCTTTAACCTGCTTTATCATTTATTTTGCTCTAATATGAAACAAATTGACAAAATTCTTAAAGAAGACTTGAATAGTGGATTTAAGAACATTAACTCATTACGAACTGAGGTACTGATTTACTAAGAAGAATGTTCAATTTCCTGTTTTTATGTTTTTATGCAAATGGACTTCTCAGTAGTCATCCCCTGCTGGCCGTTACAAAGTATGTATGTCTAAGACACTGAGATGGTTTAACTTTTAATAACAAGATGCCACATCCTACACACAGTCTATTGTTTGTGATACAATGAATTTAACCCTCTAACAGAATTTTTTGTATGTAGCTTTACAAAAATCTTGTATGAAATACAAGTGGCATGGAGCTTCATACAGCAACATATAAACAATTCTCAAATATTTGAATTATACTGAAACCAGCTGAAGACTTAAACTGAAAACATAAAATACAGATGGATGTTCAAGTAAAATTCTTTGGCTAACAAGTACTCAGTGTATCCATCTCCTCTCATTATGATAAACATTATTACTTCAGTTACTTGAGCTACCTGAATAGCAACTGAAGAGTTCAAGTGATCGTTGGGGTTATCAGAATCAAGCAGATTCAAGCACTCTACTTAAAACAGTCCTATTTAAAGAGTCAAGTTACAGTTTTATTTTTTTGTATTATCATCAAATCCAGTGAAAAGACCAACATTTTGGGGGCGCGGGTAGCCTAGTGGTTAGTATGCACACCCTTGTACGGAGGCTATGGTCCTCCAAGCTGGTGGCCCGGGTTCAAATCTGATCTGTTGCTCCTTTCCCACATGTCATTCCTAAATTGTCTCCCCTCCTTTTTCTGACTCCTTCCACTGTCCCATCAACAAAAAAAATAAAGGCATAAAAAGCCCAAAAACTAAACGTTTAAAGAAATATAGGACCAACATTTAAAATGGATCAAGTCCACCATCAGATATCGCCATGTGTTGCCAAGCCTGCTAATACTTATTCCCCTGTTTTTCTAAAAGCTATTTGACTACACAATTTAGACTAATGTTTAAAAATGGAAAATAAGTTCAGCCATCATGAATTTTGTATATACTATATTTGACCGCCATGAAAATTGTGGATTAATCCACATCTAAAAGTAGTCTTCATACACTGCACTACATACTGCTTTTTATGTAACGTTGGCTTGCTTCCCTGTGTTTTAGGTAAAGATCTCATTTGAAATGTTTTGTTTCAAAATGACCAGTTTCCTTCGATTCATATTCAAGGAACGACTCCCAAACTAGTGAAGATGTCTGAAAGTATTGACTAACCCATGGTGGCGGTCTTTTCATTGTGTTTGTTCACAATATCAAAAAACAGGCTTTCGTATCCTTTACCCATCTCCTCATGGACACAATGTGAGACATGCTTTATTAACTGCACATCCAAATCTCTTGAAAATCAATCCAAGTTCTCTCATCTTTAACCAACATTTCTAACTGAGCTCTCACTCCTCTCCAACAACACCCCACCACTCCTGCGTGGGAGCCTCCAGGCTCTTCTGGTCGGAGTCTCCATGAAGCAGCTCTTCTCTCTCCACCCGCTGTCCACCAGTCTGCTCACAGTCCAGCTCTTTCAGGGAGATTCCCCCCGAGCTTGGCTCTCTGCAGTCTCTCTCCTCTTGATCCTGGAGAGACACAGAGCGGACCGAGGACGCCGCCAGGGACGTCTCTCTGCTGTCTGACAGGAGAACCCCACTCCCTGAGCTGTATTCACTGTTGGAGTCTGCACCTAGAGCAGTGACAAAACAAAGGGAGGGAGCGCACAGATGGTGAGAGGACTTCTATAAACAAACACCACATGAGAAAAGATACGCTGTCCAAAAATACAGAGAGGGGATTCAACCAAAATCTGCATGATGGTAATAAAGCAGCCCAGTGACTTTAGTTCAGCACAAACATTATGTGCTCCATAAATTGTGCTTCTGTTAACACCAAAATCATCTATTATTTAGAAATCATTTGCACGCAGAGATATGATTCTACAATTAAATCTGCATAGATCGTGTTTAAAGGGCTTTAGAGTGATTAGTTACATAGTTCAAGGCTTTAAAGCAAGTCTATGTGCTAGCAGCTAACATGCTCATCAGAGACAATGTTAACATGCTTATGTTTACAAAGTAAGAAAACTGTATATATGTACCATATGTTTTGTAGCATGTTAGCCTACACAAATGGGCTAATTAGCTCTTAAAACAAAGTAAAGCTGGGGATTGCCTGTGCATGTCATTCTGCAGATATCATTTAACTACGTACATAAAAAGTTGGGAAACATAAAAAAACAAGGGGACTACTTGAGAATTACAATACATTGCTAGTTACAAATGTTAATTACATTTTGACACTCCAACTGTTGTCAAATGTTTCAATAAAACCCCCAAACACCAAACCAAGGCGACCCTAAAGGAAATGTCAGAGCATCACTAAGATCAGGGCGATTCATTGTGTTGGAAACATGACAGTAAAGATACAATGTCAAAGAAATCTGTCCATTGATGTATTCTTGTGAGTCTGTATGAGATGAAAAAGGTGTATCTTGTTTGGTCACAGTGGATGAGAATACATATTGATCGATCATGCAGATCAAGTCTCTTCAACAGGAACAAGCCTTTGATTAAACTTCCAATATAACTATGAGCCTTGTTTACATTACACTTTGTATACTCATACCTTTTTTCCTCTGATTCTGTCTTTCACTTATTTATTTTCATAAAGTTTATATCATGCAATGAATTTGGAATTGGCTGTCAAGTACAGCTGGATTTTAAGATTTTGAGGTACTTTTCCCCTCCACTTTAAAATGACAGAGTGGTCATAGTATATATCGCCTGTCTCACATTTTTACTTGTTAATGAACTAAAGGATGAGAAACAACACCTTGAGGTGTGACTTGAGATCCAAACTCAAAATAGTCACTGAAATGTTGTTAATGAGAAACTCCTGTAAGCTAAAATGTCTGCTGCACTTAGATTGGATGCTTCTTAGAAGCAGCAGCACCACCCGACTCTCCTCAGTGTTTTTTAGTTCGGTTCTTGCAGATTAATAGGATCAATATCATACCTGTGTGTGTCGTTCTGCTGACCTTTTTGTCTGTATGTGGCAGTGTTTTCATGTTTCCCTCTCCTTCGATCAATATCTCCTTACACCAAGAAAGCCTGTCATTAGCTGCAGACCTGGTATTGATGCATATAGACGGCCGAAGCCTTTTATATGAAACAATGAAAAGCAGTCAAAAGGCAACTAAATAGGACATTATGCCATGGCTCAAAATATCAGACGTAAGTGAGTTTTTGCAGTTAAAGGAGTCACAAACTAAAAGCCTTTAATCATCAACAACACAATACGTTGATAATTCTATAAAATACATTTACTATTACATTTCTAATCAAGACTGACTCACACATAGATTTAAAGCTACAAGTGTAACAAACAACAGAATTAAAAGAGAAATACTGGAGTAACTTCTAACTTAGTGAAAAACTCTGACAGGCCCTGGTGCTTACATTTCCGTTTCCTTACTTATTATACTTCAAATGTAGAAAACAGAAGTATACTTCACAGGTATAAAGTTACACATCTTAATCCTGGTTTAGAGTCTTTCAGCACTGAGCAAAAGACTAGGTAGATCAAAATGTCTTCAATGGCAACATGTGAACACTCAATGATAATAGTGTAGATGAGGGATAGAGAGAGAGAGAGAGAGAGAGAGAGAGAGAGAGAGAGGAGAACTAATTAAATAAAAACTGCAAATCTGATTGAGTGATACATGATTACTGCAACAATAAGATGAAGAGTTAAATTAATGCCACGGAGAGCAAGACAAAGATTAAAGACAGAGTACTAAATACAATGTATTAGAAAGAACTCATCATTATCTTAAAAAAAAAAAAAAAAATCCATTTTCTAATAAAGATTATCCAGATTTGCTCTCAACTGATTCATTTACAGCCTCCTTGTGTGAATATTAACGATGGAACCAAAAGTAAATCAAACATTACAAATATGCACACTGAGCTCTTAAAGGGATACCAGTTTGAGCTCATGTTAGTTTTTCTCTGCTGGTGGAATGCCTGAAGCAAGTCACATAATTTAATCAGTCAATTGGGGAAGAAAAATCCCATTGGGACGGAAGATCCACGTTAGGCTTGATATCTTCATTTTTTTCCTGTATTTGATTGGAAGGGTTTAGCGATGCCTTCAGGCTGCCATCTCTACATGCGTGAGTGACAGTTGGTCCTTTATTGGATTGAAAATGTCCAAAAAAAAAAAATGCAGCACACTTCGAACATATTGAGATGTGCTTCAAACGGTCAAACTAATCATTCAAAAACATAATTCAAACATTCAAGCTTAAATGTTTAGAATCACTTCAGACCCGAGTTATTCTGCAATGAGTGACAACCCCAGCTGTGCGCTTAAGACTTAAGAGTTTAGTTAGATCTTAAATGCAAATCCTAAAGAAAAGAATGATTGCAAACAAGGAAAAAAAACACTGTTTACTAACACAGCTTTGGCACAGTATGAATGAGGCTCATTTGCTCTCTAAGAGCGGAAGATGAGAAGGTCAATACCACTCTTAAAAGCCCATTGAGGATGGAGCTGAAGCGATTAGCTTAACTTAGCATCAAGATTGGAAGTTTAGAGAACTTGTATACAAAATTGCAGGCTATGTATTTCAAGCAAACTAACTGACATGTTATTGTTAACTGATTTCATTCTTGATTTTTGTAACCAAACAAAGTTATTTCTAAATATACACACAAACATGCAAAAAAAAAAGCAAACCTGCACTTGACTTGCATTCAGGAACTCTTTGAGTTGACCAGGACTTTAGATTTGGACGGGGACCTCTGACAAGACATGAGGTTTGACGTGGACTTGCCCCTGAATAATTTAAAATAGCTGGAGTGACAAAGCCCCTTGTTGTAGCTCCACACAGTGAACTATGTTACAGAATGACAGCGCTACTTTCTGCTACTGTCTGACAGTGAGGAGCAATGTGTGAGGAGGCTGCAGGGTTGATCCGGTCACTGAGATGGGTCTGTATGGGGAGCTCCCAGTATCCTTAATGCTCCAGTGACCTGGCTGAGCTGATCCCAGTGTGACAGCAGCATGGCTACCTGTCACATTATCATTCCCAGTCATGGACCTAAATGTCATTCTTGCTCTTTACTGTAGCCACGACACGAGGAAAGCACTGCATTTGTCAGCCACGCTGAATTTCTCTTTTTTGTTTAAAGAGTGGAGATTGTAAAGTTGGATCATGTGATTGGAAGACGAAGACACATTTGACCATATTTGTGATGGCAGTGAGTCGAAAGCAATTTGTTAATAATGCAACCAATCAAGACATTAGAATTTATTAAAGTTGGACACAAGCAACTGTATGTCCTGAGTAAACTAACCACTCTACGATCATCAACGATGAACTATCTGGTGTCTTATTTGTTTGTCAAACATCTTATCGCATAGACTCAATCAGTTTCAAAATTATTTTAATTCTGTGTCCTTAAAAATGTAAACTATATTTGGATTCATCTGCGTTCATTTCTTATTTTAGCTTGTGTTTAGTTGAATGAGATTAGAAGATGATGCGACTTGCTTATACAGTATTGACTCCTGAAAAATAATGGTTAATGGATCTGTGCTGGTATTTTCTGGTATTTTCAGATCTTCTGACTACTTAAAGTGCTTCAACACTGCATGTCACACCCACACATACACACCACATTCACACACTGATGGCAGAGGCTGCTATAGAGTGTTAATCCATATGAGATTTTTGGGGCCGAGACTGATATCAATATTAGGGAGAGAAAAAAATCCAATACCAATATATCGACCGATATCTTTCTTAGATCTATCTACGATCTGTAGAGAGAGCGATATATAGATCTAGACATTTATTGTGTTGATCGCTCAAATACTGTTTTAAAACTCTTGTGGAAAAGATTTATAATGAAGACAAGATGGTCACTCAACTGAAAAGTAACTGTGCATGTATGAGCATCACCGCTCGACACTGCTTGTTGTAATCCATATAGCACACTGCTGGTGAAAGAGAACTGCCAGTATAATACATTGAAACTCAAATTAAATGCTGTTAGACTGATGAATAAATCTAGTAATATCGGCGCATATCTGCGATAAGACTAGCCGATACCGTCACTTGTTATGCTAATACAGGCAGATTAGTCGGTCGGGCTCTAACCCATTCACGCGCCGCAGATGAAGCAGGGGGAGCAACTTGGGGTTACACGTCTTGCCCAAAGACACATCGACAAGTGGCTGCAGGAGCAGGGGATTGAACCCCTGGTCAGGGGGACCCATTGGTTAGGGACCTTCCAGTTGAGAGACGACCAAGCCACAGTCGCCCTCTTTCACGGGCTTCTAGTGTCATGAGGATAAGTCATAGTGGGATAAAGTGAAATATTGTGTTAAAGTGGCCGTGCTGTTTCCACATTGAAATCAAGTTTACCATAAGGTGTCCTTAAGCTGTGGACAGTCCCTTGGTGAGTGACAACACACATCCACCAGAGGCTGTTGTGTCAGGGCTTTTCATTAACACCTGAGAAAGTGTCAATCACAGTTTACTTCTGCGAGGCTGCTCATAAACAGAACAGCAGGAGAAACAAGGTCCAAATCTCCTGGGTCCCCCCTGAGCGGAAACAACCACGGCTGAATGCCCAAACCAAAATGCAGGGCTCTTAACATGCCTGAACTGACTGATAAAATCCAAATATCTGGGAATCAAATTCCTGAGAAAAACTGGCAATTACTTTTTTTATGCAGTTTGTTGATTGAAGTAGCTAGTTCATGCTTCTCTCTTTAAGTTTATTATGATATCTTTATGTCAACATTGAGCTAAATAGGTCAGGTGTAATGTGAAAAAAAGTAATAATTGACACACACCCACAGAGAATAATCACCTAACTTTGCAGTTTCCCACTGCTGTTTTCTACTTTAATGTCTTTCAGCTCATATACAGCCTGTTTTATTTCACTCTCACTGGTTTTTATCAACTTTATCCTGGCACCATCAGCAGAATGGCTCCAAAACCCTTCACATTGTGAGCTCAGCACTGACAGAAAGACACAGTTCAGGACTATCTGGTAAATATAGCAACCCTTTTAGCGGAACCAGAACATTCGATCAAGAGTTGGTTGAGTTACAATAACAGAGGATAAAGGATCAATATGTAACACTTACACAAAGGGTTAAATATGCCTACTACAGTCCAAATTTAAAACATTGGAGAGAGCTGTCTCCCCCCTTCCCCTCCTCTCTAGAGTCGATGTGCACACGGGTTGCCATGTTGCAGACATGGAAGCTTCAGTGTTTAGCCAGCTCTGCATTGGTCTTGAAAGCTTTCTGCGTTCTAACCTCTCTCCATTTTTTAAAAGCATCCCCAATATTAATCCTAGTTTTACCACGTTTTTGGTCATGAAGCTTTTTAGAAAAAATGCAGAGGCTTTTTAGGTCGGGTAGAATCAGTTGCATCTGAACCGGTTCGCTTGTCCACTTCCATTGCTGCAACACTTGTTGGTTTGCCTTGCAAACTGAGAGGCATCCAAAACAGCCGTGTAGGGGTACTTTAAAACTGCCTACCTTCTTCGGACAAAACAAAAACAGATCATTTAAACTTAGGAGGAGGACATACAAGGAGGTCATGGCTGCTGCATGTTGTCAGAGAAGCCGGCACTTTAGCGTAGCATGTTTCCTTAATGTCTGATAATAAAGTAAGGCCATTTTATGATTTAATTCAGTAGACATCTCACATGTTGGACCTTTCAAATATGGTAGGTATTTGAGTACATAAAATCCAACTAATGCTCGTCTTGCTCTAAATCTACTGCATGAGTATACGGGCAACTGTTTAGTTAACCTTCACTATGTCAACTTCATGAGGACTGATTTGTTGCTGGTGTTAAACATTGACAACATAAAATAAATATGATTTATTTGCAATCATTATCAAGCTTGATTAAAAGGTGCTCTGCCTGTTGCTGCTTGCAGTCTTGTCAAGAAGTGTGGTATTGCTGTTGGCACTCATCTTGAGACTCCCTTATCTGATGGACTTCACACTCAATACTGCGCTCCCTTGGGTCCTAACACCCACAAAGTGCGAAGTTGACCAGAAGAAATGTTCTTGAGATATGTGAAGGCGGTTATTCACAAATACAGATGGGTCCAAAAGTCTGAGAGCAAATTGAAAATCTCAAATACATATAATGTTAACCTGGGAAACACGATGAGACAAACCGAGAGTGACCACATGAATCATCAGCAGATCAATAATACAACCAAGTTTAGTTTCCTGGAGACAAAGAAGCAACCTCTTCACAAAAACAGACTTTTCTAAATAAAGAATTTGAGACTCTGATCAGTCAGAGTTAATCATAATAATAATAATACATTTTATTTATAAGCGCTTTTAAAAACTCCAAGACACTTTACAATAGTTAAAACATAAAGAACAGCACAGTAAGGACAGACTAACGGACAACGCAGCATTACACACAAATCATAAAGATAACAACAATAAAGGTAAACTACAGAAAACAGAAAATACATCACAATCATACATTAAAAGCTTGTTTAAAGAGGTGAATTTTGATAAGTGAGTTCTGTTCTTGAAGCAGATGTTAGCTTCTATACCATTTCTCAGGAGGCCAATCAAGTTCAGACGCTAAGCAGGCTTAGAAATACCTGCATTTCTGAGTTGATGAACAGAAAAAACGTCTTATTTAATCATGTTTTTTAAATCACGCAGTGACAGAAAGGTGTATGTAAGAACTGTGGACTGTGGATGTTTTGCACATCTGGAGTTGTGACACCTGACCCACATATACTTCACCCTGACCATAAGTCCCACTCCAATCACCAGAGACATGTTCTTCACTCAGGTTTTTCTTCTTTCTGTAGAAGTATTCATACTGAAGTGACAATGACACCAAACACAACTCAAAGCTTTGCATGAACTCCTTGAGGACCAAATAAGAAAATATTGTCCTCTCAAATATTCAGATTTGAGACTAATTTAAGCAGATGTTAACACTTCTAATAAAAGAGAAAAGTTGAATTGAAAACAAATGCAAAATAGAAACACAGTTCTTCCATATAGTCAGACAGACAGAGGTTCTTTTCTTGTAGTTAGATGGTGCTGCTACAGCATTTGTTGTCGTCACTCAGATTCATATCAACACAATCCAACCAAATTTTGCTTGAAATTTCACAAAGAAATCAAGAGATATGATTTGAAAATAAATATCTTTTGCAACATTTGCTCAAAAATGTCAGCAAGTACAGACGGAACAGATTTAGTAAAACAATAAACATAAATGTGTGCTGGTTATATGTACCGGTAAGTATCTATCTTTGCAGAGAGTAAAAAAAAAGTTAGATTTAATGTGGAATAATATTTGGATTGTTTTAATGTGCAATCATCATTTTGTTTTGTTTTGCAACTCATCAATGTCATTGCACACTGCCTCCTGATGAATAAAATAAGTAAATAAGTAAATCATTTCATTTCAACACTGCACTCTCCGAAGTTGTACAACAGTTGGGTGTGAAGTTAAAGGGATGAGCGGTTCTCCAAATATGCAAGGACAAGACATTCAGACACATTGACTTGGTACTTTTTTGGACAGTTAGAAAGGTATATGGTTGTATATGGATGCAGAAATATGTCCATTTTCCAGCAGTTACACTTTCAAACTTGTGGTCCTGCGGGCTTTGAATCCTGGTGGGTCTACCGGTTAGTACAAAGGAGATCCACATACCTGAGACATCTGAGTCACTATGCATTTCCTCTTCTTCTGATATCCTCCTTTCTATCCGCCTGACCTCAGGCACGTAGAAATCTCCCTGCCGAGCCAAGGGGGCCATGAAGTGGATGTGACCCTCTCTGTAGATCTCGATGAACGGGTGTGCACACAGCCTCCTCTTCTGCAAGAGATAGTTGAGTTGGTGTGAATAAAAACATGTTTATTATTTCATATTTGTAATTAGGGATGCACCGACGCATCAGTTTAACATCAGTATCGGCCGATATCAGACTTGTTAACGGACATCGGCAAATAATGTAGCATGAACTGATGTCAGTAGTCGATTTTTATCGGTTGTGTTATATAGAATTAATGCTGGCATCTAGTGCACCTAATGTTGAGTCAGAGAGGAGGTTTTGTATTGGGCAGAGGAAGTCGCCTGTTTGACAAACTGACATTTTTCATGATCAAACATGACTGAAAATGTCGACATTGTCGGAGTCTCACACCAAAAGAAGTGATGACAAAACATCGGAATCAGCAATCGGCTAAATTGTTCAATGAAACTTCGAAATCAGTATCAGCCCTGGTTTTCACAATCGCTGCACCCATATTTGTAATGCATATTACAGATATAGGTGTTTGTCAAGGTCTTGTGAATATAAAGTGATTAGCAGTAACTTAAGTGCACATTCTGTAAAATCTAAAAGTCTACCTACAGTGTCCTTGTTAATTATTTAGCACCAATACACCAAGTCAAATTCCTTGTATGTGCAAATGTACTTGGCAATAAACTGATTCTGATTCTGATTCTGAAAATGTTCAAAATGAAGATTTTATGACAGGGTATTAATCATTTGGTTGAAGTCCATCACTGCAAATGTTAATTAATGTAAATGAACATGTATTACTACTGAAAAGGTGGCTCTTTGTGTATGAATACATACAAGTATGTGCATGTACTGGGAAGAGCAAATACAACAGTATAGACACAAGCCCAGACATGTTAATAATCTCACACGCCTGCATCCAATCCATAGTGACAGAAATGATTTGTGGGAACCTCACTGCTCCAACCCAACAAGACTCGACCTCCCAACACCCAACACATCTTACACCCCAACAGTCCGTCTCTCTGAAAGCCACTTGTCCCTCTTCTGGTACTTCCCTCACTCCTCCAGAAGTGGGAAGTCTCACATGACAAGAGGCCACTCCACTGCTGCAGGCTCATTAACCTTTCATTCGGCACGTTTTATTATTCCGCTCATGCACTGCTAATGTCTGTTGCTCTCACCCCTCTGACACATGCTAAATGTCGAGCAATACTATAAACACACTGCAGCTATAGTGGAGAGGTGTGATCAATTATTTAAAAGTAATTTGTTTTAATTGGCAAAAAGTTTTATTGCTATTTTTTTCCATTTTTCCTGATGCTAACATGTCAGAAATACGTTAATGCTTGATGCCATTTAACAATAAAAAACAGATGTTAACGTAAGTAATGTTGTTTTTTTTAAACTTAGAAGCCAAAGGAATCAGAGTGATCCAACAGAGACTTGAGTATTTAGTGTAGTTTATAATGACTCTACTGCTTTGATTTAAAGAGGGTGTGACATGAATACATTCAACTGAAAGTAAAAGCAGGTGATTATGGTAATAAAGGATTTTGTATTCACACCTTGCACTCTTCCTCCACCTCAAGGTTTCTTTTATTTTTGTCACCGTCTTGAACATGAATCATTTCTTGCACAATATGGCAAAGTCCTGACACCAGTCGAGGAGCAGAAACTGTTCAGATTTTGACCGTCACTTGACAGATCAGGGGAGTATACGTTTCCCTGACGATCAAGTTAAAACTTAAGAGGAAGTGGTGACAGGCAAGTGACTGTTTAGTGGAACAACAGGAACGTCGCACATCTGATAACCAGGACTTGTAGACTGAACTGACATGCATAGGATGGATTGAGACAGCTGACTTCTTTTCAGACTCTCTCTCACCATCTGTCTCTCAGCCCAATTACGACAGCAGCAGCGCTCCTCTCGCTGCTGTCTGCAGGAACAACGTTGTCAGTTTCAGTGATTTCAGCAACATCAATTATTGGTGTATTTTTCCCTTTGGAAACATCTGCACCCTCCTCATTGGCTTGGATCATGATGCATATTGATACATGCATGCAGATATACACAAGTTTTTTGTTTTGCGGCTGAGACGCTAAATAAAAGATCAAATGTGAAAAGGCGGTATAGAGTGATGACACTGCCAGCTACACATGAAGGAGTTCTGCGTTAATATTTCACTTGCAAATTTTTTTTTTTTTAATTTTAAAGTACAATGGAGTAAAAAATAAGTAATTTGACTAGTGGGTGCTCAAAGTTTTACCGCAAAGGATCGAGAAAAGCTCCAAATACAGAACTGAGGACAAGATGTGCCAAATCAGAGCAGACTCAACAGTCTAATGGCACACTTAGAAGATGTAACCACAAAAGCTTTCATATGCCAAGGGTGGGTTTTAAAGCACTGCATTTAGCCTTAAAGGACAGTAATAGAAACTCCTAGCTTAAGATGAATATAAAGCACCCGGCAGAGAAAGGATCCATGTTTGTTTTCCTGAGCAGCCTCTGTCCTTATTTTCCTTCTTTTATTACAAACATGGAGGGAACACCACACAGTTCATTAAGGGACGAATACGCTGAACAACAACAACAACATTATAAATGATTAGCAAAGTTTAAAACGAATGATTCCATTTCTATACCGGCATTCATAACAACAGTTTTCATTATTGTTTCTCAGTGTTTAGGGGGGTCCTGACCGAGGGCTGATGTCACTGGACCATCATTGTTTATATTGTGGGGAATGGAAACATTCGGCGGATATTGTGTTTACAGTGGAAATGACGGTATATCAGGTCCTGGAAAATAGCCGCATAGACTTCAGCAGTAATGTGAAGGTGCAGAGGAATATTGGGAACTAATGAGTCCTTCAGAATAGGTAAAGTTGCATCAGGTTAGAAAATAGTCCCCCTTTCTCATAAAAGAAAGCAAAACAGAAAGTAGGACTCAGACACATATTTTAGTGCCACTGTGGCTGTGACAGCCCGTCATAAAATGATCTGCTCTGTCATGCTTTCTGCTTAATCAAAATCAAGGCATTGGACTATTTCCATTCAGGACACTTTTCTTTAACTCAGTGCAGCCTACCTTTTCATGATTTTTTAACCTCTTTTTTTAACAAATCCAATATTTTATGTTTCCTGGCACTCTGATACACTTTTTTCTTTGAAACATATTTCTATGCACACATTTTTTTCTCAGTTAAACTTCCAGGCTTTGCTCAAAGCTGAATAAACAATCTGCATCTGCCCTTGAAAGCTGATTATCTTAAGGTTTCTTGTGTGGGCTTTCATTCTTTGCCTTGCTAATGAACATCTACTAAAAATTAATTCCACCTCAAAAGAACTCCCCGTGAAAACAGAAGGCAGAAACTGCATTAACACATTAAAGTTTCAGATGCTCTTTTGATTCATGAAAAAAAGGAAAAATTGCTTTTAGGCAGAAAGTTTAGGGTCGAGTATTTTTCCAGACCAGCACTGATGGCCAGACAACTAAGTGAAGAACAGAGGAAAGTGAAATGCTAATTAATTCTGACTGGCTTAACATTCACTGACAGGGTTCACTCTGTGTGTGTGCTTGAAACAGAACTTGCTGCTTTTCATGCTGCATGAGCTGGAAGTTCTCCAGGAATTTAATAACAAGAAAACTTTCAGCTTCAACTTTGAATAAAGAAATTACCAAGAACTATTTTTGATTATTTTACACATAAACACTAGAAACCTAAAACTCTTTAATGCCTGAAACCATTGTTATATTTCTGGTTTATGTTAACTGCATATTAAGGATGCAATATTTCACAAAAACTATGACCACAATATTCCTCAGCCGAATAGAAAGGCCTTTGAGTTATTATATCAAAAGAATATCAGAGGATGGGCCAACAGTACGACAAGAATTGGATTGTCCAGTGTGTTCAAATAACAGTCCAGCCAAGCCAGAGTCATCACAGCTGTGTCTGAAGCCTGAGTGACTTCACCCGTCTGTTACTGAAGGGTAAGGGTTTGGAGGCCTGTCGATGGCGGTCGCCATGCTGGAAAGGCTGTCTCAAAACTCAACATAACGCTTGTCAATCAGGCCAGACATGCAGCTTACTATACATAACTCTTATCCTTCATGAAATCAACAACAAATTATTTATTTAAAAAAAAACAGTACAGTCTAAGTCAATATAGAGACGTCTAATCAGACCTGTCGTTTTTTGAACCAGGCTTTTGAATCCGGTGTGTATGTAACTTCCGGTGCTTTGCAGCCAGCCTCAAGAAGACACTAGATGAACTGCAGGATCTTCCACTTCCACATTTGCTTCATATTTCAACACCGCTCAGGCTGAAATCTGGATGTCTGTCAAATAACAACTGAAAACTACTTTGTGAGATGATTGTGTATGTTCTTTTTGAAAGAAACTCCTCTAAATCCAGCTACCAAATCACCAGGATGGACAAAAAAACTATCCATTTTGACATGTCATTTAGAACCAGGAAGTTATCAGTGCAATTTTCTGACATTTTTTTAACCAAACTATAAATTGATGAATGAGGAAAACACAACTAATTCTTGATAAATAACATAATCAGGTAGCCTATATGGAGTGCTTATAATTGGAGCAATGGTTTAGATGGGTATTCATTATGTTTCACCTTTGAATTTGGGCATACAAACTGAAAAACGTCAGCCTTATAGCTACAACATTTTAAAATCTGTGATTGAAATAAATATTAGGCTCATTTATTTATTTATAGACCACACATGGAAACTATCCCTCTTACAATGACCACTAAGGTTTTAACCAGTAACATCAGTGTGTGTGTGTGTGTGTGTGTGTGTGTGTGTGTGTGTGTGTGTGTGTGTGTGTGTGTGTGTGTGTGTGTGTGTTATGAAGTGAACAGAAGTGACAGAGGGCAGCAGCTAATTAGTCAGTGGAATCACTGACTGACAAACTGAGCCCGGTAAGATCGTGTAATTGGGTAGGGGGTTGTGTATGGTGTACTTATTGATTTGTGTTTGTTTTTTTTTGCCATATTCTTCTCCGCAGTATGAGGTCTTCAGGAGCCCAGGAGAGCATGTAGG